AAAGAGGCAGCTCAGACAGCTGAGAGAGTGAGGAGTCCTGTTATGACTACATTGGCAAACAGGAAAAGAAAAAGGGAAATCCAAAGCCACAAAAATGTTAGCTGCAACACAGCACCCGGGCTTTCAAGAGCTGGTGATTTGCTGCACTTCTACTTTACACCACCAGATGCTACTATAGGCTAGGAGAGAAGCTGGGCAGCCCCTAAACTCAAAATAGGCTATCTAATCTGTAGTAGAATGCCAGATGCTGCTGCCCACCAGGCTTAGCACCTGCTGTGATCTTTGCCGCTGTTTAAAGAAGAAAAGGCCTAGCAGTTGCACCCAATGGCAATCCCCTTTCTCCAGCCTACCACTCTCTGCATTACAGACTCCAAGAACAATTTGCAGGTGAGATTTTATGCCTAGCTAGGTTAAGAACTGGTGAGAGGCACTGGACTGAAAGTTCTGATGTCTGCATTTGTTACCAGCGTGAGTACACCCAGGGTAACAGCAGGAGGGCAGGCTTCTCCTCTCCCCCTGGGACACATGGCACCCTGGGAGTTTGAGCTCTTGCATATTTGTTGAATTTATCTGTTTGTTTTAATTCCAAAGAGAAATCTGCAGCACTACTCCCCCCAAACCTCCCACTCTCCACTCCTTCGCCCCCAGCTCTACCACCACATCCTCCTCCCTCCAATATGGCACTGCAAAACTGCTGATTAATGTTCTGAAGTCTTCTCACACCTGCTAATTCCAGAGATCACAGAGCATGGAGTTGGTGGAGGAAGTGAAGCTGTCTTCGGTGCTTCCAACTTCATGGAGGCAAGGGAATGCCTCCACTTGAATATGCTCATCATCAGGCCCACGTGCCCAAATAACAATTCCCACTCTCCACTCCCTGCTTCTCTGACTGCAATAGATCTGACCAACTTGCAGTAGCCAATGTCAGATGCTAAAAAGGCAGCATACAATCTACCATCTTCTCTCTTTGCACTGTGCGGTACAATACTGGGATGAGAATGGGGAGGGAGGCAGATTTCTTCTTGATCCCAGTGCTATGGGAAATTAGCCTTTTTTCAAAGATCTGCTGATGTGTCAGTTATTCTGAAGTTGCCCAATTCTGCTCTGCCTAGATCTACAGTTACATCTAGTGCAGAATTTGCCCACTCGGATTCTTAACTCGGATATGCAAAATTGAGTCTAGCATCCTTGGGAGCTAGAGGAGCTGCTGAGTGAGTCTTGAAGCACAGTCCCAGAGCATTACTCACTGAGAAGGGCTCCTCCATACAGCCTGATGGGAGTCTTGGTGTTGACCGATTCCTCCTCAAAGATGGCATCGTAGAGCTGATCAGGGAAAGTGAAAGCCTAAGAGGAGCAGGAGAGAGAATCTCAGTGGCTCTGCATGAGTTGGGTCACTTGGGGACAATGAAAAGTAGAACAGGAGAAGCTCTGCCTGGGGCAAAGGGGCACGCACTGTAAAATCGGGCATTTATGAGGAAAAGGAGTGCTGGACAAATAATATCATAGGATGTCAGCTGTCTGCTTAAAGCCTCTCCCCAGTGACTGAGGGACAGAGGTGCCATGTGTGGTTTTGTCAACCTGTAAAGGAGAATGGGACTTTCATGTTAGGAACAACCTGTCAGGAAAATTGCTGATAAAAACTCACTGCAGAGGACCAGGGCCAGCAAATACCAGCAAGAGAAAGTGGCAGTGGCTGTTAAAGGACAGGAGGGAGGTGATGACAGAATCCTGCATGCTACGTCACCACTGCCCTCTGGCAGCCAAGCGTTCAGCTCTGTCAGGGACAGGATCTCTCACTTACCATGATGGCAACCCCCGAAAATATGATGGCAGAGACAAACTGCCAGACCCTGCATGGAAAGAAACACAGATCAGAGGCCCTGAGATCTTCAAACCGTTACCTTTTCACCTGCCCAAGTGCTGAGGCCCATACCTCTTCCAGAGCAAAACCCCTGCCCAGGATGAGAGGGAGGAGGGGAGATGGCTTGTGATCTTTTCTTTATGCTTAAGTGGGAGAGATGGTGGATACAGCTTCTACTGTCCTCAAGTAAGAGAAGCTCTCATGAAATAAAGACAAAAAACCAAGGGATTTCACAGCCAGTCATAAAACAGTCAAGGTGAAGTGACTAACCTTCAGAACCTCTGACAGGGGAAGCTCTGACCATCTACAATGCCACTGGATATTTGCAGCCTGAGAGTGCATTACTGAAATCAGCAGGTTTCCCAATGACTTAAGGGGGAGCAGATATCCTTTGAAAGTAACTAAAGGCAGGCCAATGGCCTAGGGAATGGCACATTCACTTTGTTTCTTTACAGCTATACTCCCAGGCTTGCTGGTAGTCATGGGGGTTGATTCAGTGGCCAGCAAAAGCTGGGCATCCCACAAGAACACATTCCCATCCACTTTAAGAGAATGGGAACAGTCCAGAATCAGTAAATGGTCCTCATAGCTCAGGAAAAATAGGACCAACAGGTGTATTCACAGTTCAGAGCCCATGCCCCCCAGGGCTGCCTATCATCAGATACATCCCAAAATCAGTAACCAAGCCAAGCTATAGCAGATGTCCCAGTGCATCACGGGACTCATGGATTGCAAACTCACAACTCATCCCTTCCACACCTGTGGGCTCCCTAGCAGCACACAAGACTGCACTGTGGCAGGATGCATAGGTCCAAAGCCAGCTCTGGAGATCTCTGCTCCCTCATCCCATATGAATCACTCTTTCAGTAGTGGCTCTACAACAGCTCAAAGTGCTCAGAGACCTGCAGCAGACCTGCATAAGGTTCCAGATGACATTTCATGAATGCAGGGGCTCCGCTCCTCAACACAGGTAGGGCTCTTCCACATGCTCTTCACAAAGGTAAGCCCTCACCACACATATCATAGATGAGTGGCAGCCAGTGCACAATCCCATGCAATCACCCACCACACGGTATGTAAGCACATCAAAGAGCAGGGACTTCATACAGGTGAGCAGCCATTGCCCCACAGGTGAGATACCTGCTGTGCATACTGCAGGGGTGCAGTACTCCATCTCACCTACTCAAATGTCACTGGTTACACAAACTACCCATTGCAAAGAAGGCATCCCCAATATAACCCATACAATATGAATGAAGCACCCCTTCATCAGAGTCATCACATATAGGGATATTCTGACATTGCCTGTACAGTGAATGCAATATGTCACATGGGCATACATGTCCTATTGAGCGCATAAAAAGGCTCAGAAGAGGCTGCTGGTGAGAGGGAGCACAGGAAGTTTGTAGCAGAAGAAAGAAAGAAGTTGGGTTACCTGACATAAGGTGTTGTCAAAGAGCCCCAGGCACATGCCCCGATGTGATTCAGTAGTGTAACTAGGGCAGGACAAGTGGTGCACCAGTCCCAGGTACTGACTATGGGCAGAGAAAAGTGCCAGAATCACCTCCCAGGAGCCTTTGCTATGGCAGGGGCAGCCTTGCACCAGGGTTGGCTCCCAGGATGCCGAGCTATGGGGTTGCTCCTGCTGGAGCAGATGCTGCTAGAGAAGCAGCAGTGGCTGCAGTAGCCTGGGAAGGTAAGACTAAGACTTCCTAATTCACCCCACAGTGGTCAGCATACCTCACTCTTGTAGCCCTCCCTCCCCTTCCCCCCATCCCACCCCAGGAACTCACTGAGCTCACTACACCTTTGCTAGGGCTAGTCACATGAAGGAGAAAGCAAGGCTGCACGTGGGAGATGGCCAGCAGTGTTAGAGCTGGTAGCCCCTTCCCCATCCTGGCATGCCTATGCCATGAGCCAGAGCTCCGAATTCAGACATAAAAGCTTACCTGAGTCCAATAGGTTCCCGCACAGCAAATTTTATTTCATTACCCAGGACTTGGCTGATCTGGAAAAAAAAAATAAAACGAGGATATGTAAAGTACTACAGCAGATCTCTCCCCAAGCCCCTTCAGGTAGGATCCAGCAACCTGAGGAAAAAACAGATATCCAGCTCCATGAGTGCGAGGAGGGAGGGAGGCAGCAAGGCTCTTAAATCTCATCAAGATTATGCAGTCCTCCTTGAGGACATGCCAAAGGTTATTTGATTCCCAGCACCTCTAAGAGCACTCCCTCCCTTACCTGGGCCCCTTTTGCCTGTCAGCAAAATGAGGTGCAATATCGGTTCTCTCTATGCAGCATTCCTGATGCAAAAAAATAGCTCTACACAATTAGCAGCTGCAGAACAATAGGGAGGTCAAGAAACCAGGGTATACATAAGTGGGAAAGGGGCACTGGGAAAAAAGGCTAGTCAGGCCTCTTAGCTACACAGGGGCTACAAGTAGGTCAAGAATTTCCCCATGAAAAGGACTTTCATAGAAACATGCAGATTCATCAAAACCAAAGTGTTTTTTGGAAGCGCTCTCGTTGTAATAAGCTTCTAACACAGCTCAGTACACGGCATCCTGTCAGTTTACCTGCCTGGGCTTCCAGCATCTGTGGCTCCTGGGTCACTCTGCTATAGATCACCACAGGGTTAGGACTCCTTGCTCCACTGTTTCCATGTCATGGATACTGTGCTGAAGCTTGGCACTCCAAGGCTTTCTGGCTTCTCCTGCCCTTGTCTTTTATATTGTAATTTCTCTCTCCCTCTTATACTCTGCTTTTCCAACCTCCTATCACAGCATCTCACGAAGTGAACTTGGGTTCACAAAAGCTTATGCTTTCTATATAATCTTATTTAGGTAGTCTCTGAGGCTTGGAACAGAAGTTACACATAAACTGGTTTAAGTGATCAGAAACTGGTTTAAACCTGTAACAAAACAGCTCAGTGTACATTAACTGGTTTCAAAATGGGTGAAACTGGTTTAAGATAAACCTGGCTGAATGTAGTATCAGACTTAACTGATTTAGGTCAAATCAGTTTATGAAACTTCTGTCCCAGACTCCCTGGGGGAGGCAGTGTGTGTCATTTTCCCCCCCTCCCCCATGTAGACTGGGCTGCATCCCCAGCCAGGCTCCTCCTCACCCCTCGCCTTCCCTTATCATCCAGCCCTTGCTGCTCCAGCTAGAGAGGGGAAGGGGTGCAGGCAGGCAGGCAGCCCTGCTCTCTCCCGCAATGGAGGGTGGAGGTAGCAGATCTGTCTCACCCATGTCAGCCCCCTCTGTGAGGCCTGCTTCCCTAGCTGCTTACTCTTCCTCTCTAGAGAAGAGAAAGCTCAACCCCTGGTAGCTGATCCCGCGAGAGCCTCTCCCCAGCAGCACCTTTTGCGCTGCTCAATGGCCTGGCACCCTGCACTGGGCACCCAGGGCTCTCTCTCCCATGGGAGCCAAGCCCTTGTAGGCTTCAACTCCCCAGTCTCACATTGGGGGTTCTCCCCTTTTCCAGGCCCTGCTCTGGGCACCAGGCTCTTTCAGTTAAAAGTGGAGCCGCACTGTGGGGCTCCAGTCACTCAGCCTGGGGCCAGGGCCAATGTGAGCAGCCACAAGCTGCTTCCAAGGTGGTTCTCCACGCACCAACCTGCGCGCCGAGCGAGGCCCAAGCAGCCTCGAGCTGCTCCCAGGGCCAGCTCTGTGTGCCGATCTGCACACCGACTGCCCAGCCGCTTGGGGGTTCACAGGCTCAAGCTGCCTTGAGCAGCTCCTAGAGCCTGATCCCCATGCACCAATTCGCGCACCACTGAAGCTCAAGCAGGGTCCCGAGGATGGCTGTCTCTGGCGCTCCTCTCTCCTCACCATCCTTCATCATCTCTCCCCAGCCTGCTGAGCACGCTCCCCCGTTATACTCTTCAGGGGCTCCACCCCCGAAGTTCTCTGGACCTGGCTGGTGCAGTTCCGATTCAGGTCCTGCTGCTCCTTGCCCCCCCTCTTCAGAAAAGGGCGGGGCATTGCTTCCCTTGTGCTGCCTCTGGACTGGTAGGCAGGCTCCACCAATCAAAGAGCAGACCCTCGATCCTGGGACTCAACCCAAGCTCTGAAAAGGTAAGCCTGCTACATGTACTAGACCGAACGATGCATATCTGCCATGCATTCTGACTGACTTCAGCTGAACATGGCTAACTACATCTGTCTGGGTTCCTGCCAGGGATCTGTAACTCCTCCCAGCTGTCTTATTCAGCTCTTCCCTTCCTCAGGAAATTTCCAAAATTGTGCTTTTGTTTGGAAATAGGGCATTTTTTTTCAGAATTTGTTAGAGAACGGAAATTCCAGATTTTGTGGCCAGCTCTGGTTGAACGATGTTTTAACAAAGGGCATACAGGACCAAGGGCATTATTCCTCTCAGAACCTCACAGTACCAGCTAGAGCTAATGCCACTAAAGCAACCTTCTGTCTGCATCTCCCAAGCTGGAAGCCAGCTTTGCTAGTGCAGAAGGGGCTGTGGTGTCGTGAGCACTAATGTGCACAGTTGACAAGGTTGCAAATTTGAGGCCATAGCAGAAGCACTTCTGGGATGGCCTGTCAGATTCCCATGAATCTGAGAATCCTGCTAAATACCTCAT